AATGAACATTGATGTCAACACTCAGAGGCGACAGGTATGTATGTCTAATAAAACTAATTGTACAAACACTTACCATTACTAAATGTCGTAGGGTCTAATGCTGAAACAAAGGAGTCATATTTATAAACTTTACTGCAACTGGGAATGGTATCTAGAATGATTTTTTTTATTTGTGCACATATGTATATATATATATATATATATATATATATGTGTGTGTGTGTGTGTGTGTCTGTGTGTGTGTGTGCGTGTGTGTGTATGTGTGTGTGTGTAATTGAATAGTCAGGGATAAAGTTGGTGAAAAGTAAAAGAAAAATTTCTTTCAAAAATCCTTAACAGATTAAATGCTACACAAAACCTTTTTTTTTCCATTTTGTCATATCATTTTTCTAAACATAGTTTATCGACATACCCAGAACGGGTTAATCTAGTGGCGCGCTTAAATTCATCTAGTCAGATGCACCAAGGTCAAACAAAAACCTCATCGGAGCTTTTGCCATGAAAATATTTGTAGAAAAGACAGAGAGGAGCCACATGACATCTATGAGAAAGTGACTGAAATCGAGATGCCAGATCGGAACCTGTTATATTGCAAATTCTAGAGATACCTCGGCGAATGGGAGATATAAATATTAAGCACCCCTAGAAATTTAATTATCTGAAGAGCGTTTTAAAAGAGGCAGAAAAATGTGACAACGAAATCCGAACAGACATCAGACTAGCGAAAGAAGCATTCCAAAAGCTAAGCAAAGTATTTAGAAACAGGAAAATTATATTGGAAATAGACAAAAGATTACAGCTCCTATATGGCAGTGGAGACTTTAGAATCTAACTGCAGGTACCCTAGCAGGATTTATTATCGATGGGGTTAATTTTAACAATACAAGATAAGCAGATGACACGGTGCTGATGGTTGACTCGAGAAGGAAACTAAAGGACCTTTGAGAGTGGGTAGTAAAAAAAAGCGATGAGAAAAACACTAAACATAAATAAGACAGAAAGCATTGCCATCAGAAAAAGAAAAAGCGAAATGTGCGTGTAACAAATTGGAAATAAAACCATCGAGCAAGTATACGAGTTTAAAGATTTCGGAAGAGTTTTACCAGAGTGTGGAATCTTCCACAACAAACCAGCCTTTCCTCTTTTTTAGGAAATGCACTCTTCCTATCTGGTAAATAACATCCTACTTTCATTCAAAATATCAACGAGAAACCATTGGTCAATCACCTTCCATCTAGCTTGCTGATTGGTCAGTTCCGACCAATCAAACCGCCTGCACGCGACAAATCTGTTTTACCGCGTTTTCCATTTGAGCCAGTCACGTGATACACGACCATTATATAAACCCAACACGTGTGATATTTTCTCTCTTTTTCCTGCTCTTCCTGACTTGAGCCTAACTTATCTACGTCACTCGTACATCTCAACACGCCGCCAAAATGTGACCCTAAAGGAACTTCGTCTTGACTGATCCAGTCAGACCTTAAATGAACAATACTTAATTCATGCAAGTATTATCTTTGAACACTACCTAACTTGTTCATAAAATTCCAAACACTCTATATTACAGTTTAATATTACTTCCTTTTAATATGAACTCAGGTACAACTATTTACCTAACCAAAGAGACACAACTCTGTTTAGCCTTTTCACTCATTATTCATGTATGTATACCAAACACTAATAAATTTAATTGTTACGTTTGAAACAATATGTTTGTGAATCATTATTTCTCCTTTCTTGTCTAACGTCATGAGTTTTGAGCTTCATAAAATAAATAATAGAGAAAGAGGTCTTATTTGGAAAGTACATCTGGGGTGGCCTTGTGCCAGTTTTATCCCCAGAGAGAGAAGTTAATCAGATATGTTCTTCGTCCCCCTACAAGAGGATTGAAAATGTAACTCCCAAATCCGAACACACATAGGACAAGCGAAAGGAGCATTTCAAAATCTGAGCAAAGAAAAAAATGAAACAAAGCGTACTGGATTGCTATGTGATATCCATTCTCTTATATTGATTTTCCAAGCGTAGCTCACATGCGGCACAAGGCCGAATGTATGGGGCACGCAGTGAGGATCGAACTCACAACTCAATCGTAATTGTTTTAGCGAGACAAGCTTGCTAGCCATTGAACCACTTCGAGCTGCCCATATCCATTCTCTTATATGGCAGTGAATGCTGGACAATCTCTCGACGGATGAGGAAAAAACTAGTAGCAGCAGAAATGTGGTTCTACAGAAGGATACTGAGAATTCTATGGCCGGAGTGAGTAATTACCGAGAAAATGGGAAGAGAAAGAACAATTTTACTCAGAATCAGTGAATGTTGGACAATTTCCCCACAGATGAAGAAATAATTAGAGGTAGAAAAAATGTGGTTCTACAGAAGGATACTGAGAATTCTATGGACGGAGAGGTAAGCAATAATGAAGACTTAAAGAATGGCAAGAGAAAGAACAATTTTACTCAAAATCAGTGAATGTTGGACAATTTCCCCACAGATGAAGAAATAATTAGAGGTAGAAAAAATATGGTTCTACAGAAGGATACTGAGAATTCTATGGACGGAGAGGTAAGCAATAATGAAGACTTAAAGAATGGCAAGAGAAAGAACAATTTTACTCAGAATCAGTGAACGTTGAACAATTTCTCCACGGATGAAGAAATAATACGAGGCAGAAGAAATGTGGTTCTACAGAAGGATACTGAGAATTCTATGAACGGAATGAGCAAGCAACAGAGAAGACTTAAAGAAAATGGCAAGAGAAAGAACACTTTTACTCAGAATCAGTGAATGTTGGACAATTTCCCCACGCATGTAGAAATAATTAGAGGAAACAGAAGTGTGGTTCTACAGAAGGATACTGAGAATTCTATGGACAGAACGAGTAAGCAAGAAGGAAGACTTAAAGAAAATGGCAGCAGCAGAAAGAGGGATACTGAGAATTCTATGGATGGAGTGAGTAAATATTGAAGTAGTATCTTATAATCAGAACCAGGAAAAGACAGCTGAAATTCCTTTAGGAATGTCGGCTTGGAAAACTTAATCCTCACGAGGCATCTTGAGAACCAAAAAAGATCAAGGGAAAGTTAGCAAATGCTAGCGGATCAGTGAATGTGAGCTTTCGTAAATATAGACAGAAAAAGCTAAAAGCCACGCGTAATAGAACGTTGTGGAGGACCATGAACAGATATGGCACATAGAAGAATATTACATTTCAGGAAGCTTATGTGCGTTTGTGAGAATTTACACGTGGGCACATATTAAAAGAAACACTTTATGCGATCGAAGCTCTGATATCGGTGATAAAATTCTCAAATAGAAAAGAATTAGAGAAAAAATGATTTTAGCGCTGAATGTAAATGTGTGAGAACAAAGGGTTGACAAGTTCCGTCCCAAAAAAGTTATATTTAATTAATGTCCAATCCTTGAGGCAATAGAGTCATTGATACACATGCAGGGACCGGTGCAGGGAGATTGAGAAGCCATTAACGCTTAGGTATTTGTCAGGGAGACAGATCCAAAGATAGATAGATAGATAGATAGATAGATAGATAGATAGATAGGAATAGATACATAGATAGATATATATATATACAGGATATATACATATATACATACGAACAGTTATATATATATATATATATATATATATATATATATATATATATATTGATATATGTGTGTGATGATGTGTGTGTGTGTGTGTGTGACAGGACGGATAGATAGATAGATAGATATAATAGATAGATATATAGATAGATAGATAGATAGATAGATATATAACAGTCTGAGATAGATAGATGAGATAGATAGATACTGACAGGACGGACATAGATAGATAGATAATAGATGAATATATATATATATATATATATATATATATATATATATATATATATGTGTGTGTGTGTGTGTGTGTGTGTGTGTAGATACATAGATATGAACAGTGAGATAGATAGATAGATACCAACAGTCTGAGATAGATTGATAGATAGATAGATAGATAGATAGATAGATAGATAGATAGATTCGCCTATTATCCGGTTCACACTCCTCTCTGGTCTTTTGAACACTAGTAGATCCCATCTTTTCTTTTTAGGATGTAGACTCCGGTTGATTCTAAAGTCTGCTTTAGCTCTCTACTCTTTACGTCTGCACCTGAACTCTGAACTTCTATTCACTGATTAATCATTTTACTTATTTTTTTTCCACTGCCAATAGGAGAAAATATAAGTTCGTCTATCACCCGGTTCACACTCCTCTCTCGTTTTTTTTTTTTTTTGAACTGGAGTAGAAGTTAACATCTTGTTTTCTGTTTAGGGTTGTGTCTCCGATTCCTTCTAAAGTCTGCTTCAAGTCTGTGCTCCTAACCTCTGCAATGTAGCTTCCCTGTGCCTTTTCTATAAATAATTTCAGGGTAATTGTTCCGATGAACTCTCAGCTATGGTACCTTGACTTTATGAATTTAAGCGCAACACTAGATTAGCGGCAAGGTCTGTCTTATCAATTCACAGTTCAATTGACAAGATGTAACCGTAAGTTCTATGCTAACTGTTTCTTCTGTTGTGCTTCTCGCTCATTGAACTCTCTTCTGGATTCTTGCTTTCCGGCCAACTTTGATCTTCAAAAATTTTAATGCAATACCAGTCGTTCTCGACTGTCTTCTGAATTCTTCTTCTATTGTTCTTGCTCTTTAATAATCTTTCTCTTTTTTTCTCATCCTTATACACTCAATAACTCTTTTTGTCTCAGTGGCTTTACCACCTTGCTTAGGGTGAAACCGTTAAAAAATACTACTTATTATGTAATAATTAGGATTTTATACGTGACTTACCCCCACTCCACCTTTAAAAAAAACTTTTTGGACTGTATGAATAAATCAATGTTCGTCATGAAAAGAGGAAAGATAAATATTTTCTACCTTTTTTTATTTAAATCATCTTACTTTACTGTGATAAAATAATGTTTTTAGTGTATTTTTGTCTATTTACCACCCTTCACACACATTTTTTTTAGGTACGTCTCTCTATGGATGAACGGGGCAGGCAGTCAGGCCAGTGATGCATGTTTTAATTATTTTGTTGTTCAGTGCATACGGGTCTTTTGCGTTCGTTCGCTAATGTGCATAAAATCGCCTTCAGGTAAAGAATAAGAAAGAGGCGATGCGAAAAAAGAAAGAAAAACAATAAGAGTCAAAATGAATAAAAATGAAGGACTGAAGTGAAAGTGAAAGTGAAAGTGTAAAAATTTGATTTAAATGAAGGAGCCTATACGGAGGAATGAAGAAGAAAGATAATGATGTCGGGGCGGGTAAGTGACTTTAGAAAATGTCAAAAAACCAGAAATATGATTAGTAGAAAAATGACATAGAAATTTCAAAAACAAAGGAATGAATGAACACAAAGAAAGAAAGAAAGAAAAAAGAAAGAAAGAAAAGAATGAACAACAGACAGAAAGGAAAGAAAAAGAAAAAAGAAAGAAATTAACGAAAAGAAAGAAAGGAAGAAAGATTTGTGAAGCTTGAAACTTGAGTTTGAACGAAACCAGCAGACAAAACAAGATAAAGAAAGATAGAAAGGAAGGAAGAAAGAAACAAACAAACAAACGAAGATGCGGATTCAACGAAAGAAAGAAAGAAAGAAAGAAAGAAAGAAAGAAAGAAAGAAAAATAACACGGTATGCAGGGTTTATAAAAAAAAAACAAATGGAGGGAAATAAAAAAGAAAGAATGGAAAAGAAAGAAAATAGAAAGAACGAGAGAAAGAGAAAAAAGAAACTTTGATAGCAAAGAAAAGACGATGGGGGAAAGCGAAAACTGCACTGCGCAGATTTCATATCTTCTGACGTACTGAAAGAAAGAAAGAAAGAAAGAAAGAAAGAAAGAAAGAAAGAACAACGGGTTCAGTGAAAGCGAAAATCGTGATATTTTAAAAAATAGAAAGAAGGAAGGAAATAATAAATGAATAAAAGAATGAATGAAAAACAGAAAGAATGAAAGATAGGAAAAACATTCGTAAAGTTTCAAAAGAGTTAAAGAAACAGAAAAAAGAACTACAGTTTCAAACGAAAGAGAGAATCGTGGTTTGTCAAAAAAAAGAAAGAAAGAAAGAACTACGGTTTCATAAGAGAGAAAGAATCGTTGTTCTTCAAAAGAAAAACAGAAAGAAAGAAAAACTACGGTTTCAAAAGTAAGAGAGAATCGTGGTTTTTTAAAAAAGAAAAAGAAAAAAGAAAAGAAAGAAAGAAAGAAAAGAAAAAGAAAGAGAAAGAAAAAAAGAAAGAAAGAAAAACTACGGTTTTTCAAAAAAGAAAGAAAAGAAAAAAAAAAAAATCATGGTTTTTCAAAGAAAGAAAAAAAGAAAGAAAGAAAAAAAAAAATTACGGTTTCAAAAGAGAAATGTTTTTTAAAAAGAATCATGGTTTTCAAAGAAAAAAAAAAAGAAAGAAAGAAAGAAAGAAAAAACTACGGTTTCAAAAGAAAGAGAGAATCATGGTTTTTCAAAAGAAAGAAAGAAATAAAAAAATTACGGTTTCAAAGAAAGAGAGAATCATGGTTTTTCAAAAGAAAGAAAGAAAGAAAGAAAGAAAGAAAGAAAAAAAACTACGGTTTCAAAGAAAGAGAGAATCATGGTTTTTCAAAAGAAAGAAAGAAAGAAAGAAAGAAAGAAAAAAGAAAGAAAGAAAGAAAGAAAAAACTACGGTTTCAAAGAAAGAGAAAATCATGTTTTTTTAAAAGAAAGAAAGAAAGAAAGAAAGAAAGAAAGAAAGAAAGAAAAAAAAAAAAAGAAAGAAAGAAAGAAAGAAAAAACTACGGTTTCAAAAGAAAGAGAGAATCATGGTTTTTCAAAAGAAAGAAAGAAAGAAAGAAAGAAAGAGAGAAAGAAATCAAGGCGCCTCTAAAGTAATAAACAAAGCTGAAGATTTCAAAAAAAAATAAAAAAATAAAAACAACGCAAAAATGAAAAAAGAAAGAAAAAGTATGACGGGTCAAGAAAATAAAGGATATATAAAATGAAGTATAGCAAAAAAAAAAACATTTAACAACGGAAAGAAAAAAAATGACAGTTAAAGATAATTAAAAAAATGGTGGCTAAAAATCTAAAATAAAGTTAAACGAAAACACAGCAAAAATTACGTTGCGGGAAGGGTCAAGGGAACAGAATCTCCTTAATAACTCTAATTAGAAAACACACTCACACACACAAACATAAAATAGAACACACGAAAGACGAAACAAACCGAGACAAAGCGAAAAGAAAAAAGGGAGATAATCGAAAATGATTCAGACAAATATGGCCGACGAATGGCGGACAGAAACACTGAATTGACTCATTAACCCCTATTTCTTTATTTACTTGTTTATTCAGTTTCTTCGCCCCCCCCCTCTTCCATCAGGCATCTCATCTCCGCGTTTGGAACCACCCGGCAAATTGGCACCTATCCCCACCCCATATGCAACCGAAGCGCTTTCACCTCTCACTTGATTTCAGCCAACCCAACCCATTACCCGACTGTAATTACGTTTAACAGGAAATTTAAGGGCGAAAACTTACCATTGAAGTGTGTAATGGAACGAGCTGACACAAGATGTGTGTAAAAAAAAAAAATTGCCATAAAAAAAGTCAATGAGGCTTGACTGAAAGCAAGGGAGAAGGTCACCATGATAGGCTGCGTGCCTTTCGGGAAAATCGGCATCGTGTGCTTTTCCCCTATCCCCCACCCCCTCTGCATTCACAGCACTGTAACGCCGTGAGGACACGTTGGATTTTATTTTTTTTTTTTTAAAATGCTTTCGATTTATAAAATTAGAAAATTTGACATATTGGATCGTCTGACATAATGTTCATCTATTTGGGCATATTTTTCCTTCATTACTAATTGTTCCCCCAATACGAGGCCCAAGAGCCACTCAAGGTAGGGCTTAAAGATTGAGGTTGTATGAACGTAAGAAGTGGTGATCTGTCGCTTTGGTTCAGACACTTCAGTTATATATATATATATATACTAGCAGTAGAGCCCGGCGTTTCCCGGGGATGTAACAGTAAGAGATAGATCAAGTATCGACCATCAAAAAGACTGAAAAATAAAATTGACAAAGATTATTGCTTAAGGTTGACGGACACGCATGTCTTAATTAGTTTTTTTTTGTTTTTGTTTTTTTGTTTTTTTTTACGAATTGGTCAAACCCAAACTCAAACAAAAACATTGTTTTCAATCGTTATGAGTCTATCGATTGAATAGAATTCTATTATAAACAATTGTCTTGTAAATGGAATTTTTAAAGCATTCTGAATGTAAAAATAAAGAAGAAAATGTGCAAGACAATAAGAAACACTACCTGCCAAAAAAAAGTGAAGTTTTGTTGAAATCGGTTGTATAATGTAGGAAATCCGATCCCATATATAAACGAACACAGACACACACACACACACACACACAAACAACCTGAGTTTTATAATAAGTATAACTCGATATGAGTTGTCCCCCTTTCATTCTGTCGACAGCGATCCCACTTAATCGTGTTTTCAAATTGATTTCGTGCAAAAACAATTGTGTATTCCAATTTTTGGCGCTGTCAGAACCACCGCAAGGTAATTTTACGCAGTCCTGTGAAGTTTTGTTGAAATCGGTTGAAAAATGTAGGAAATCCGATCCGATATATAAACGTACAGACACACACAAACATAAACACACACATACACAATCTGCGTTTTATTTTTCGTACAGACCCGACTAAAAACCAGACCAATGTTTACGCATTTGTCGTGTCCACTAAAATATCAAATACAATATTTATAAACCAATCACACTCAAGAAAACACATCTTAAAACACACCAATAAAATCATAGATTACAAATCAGAATGTTTGTTGTATTAGTCATCATTATTTTTAGGTAGATACCGACCAAATATCGTGCGGACGTAGTAGAAGACATACCACGTGACTTCTTAGGGCAATTAGGAATAAATAAATAATTTAATTCTGGAGCCGATATTGTTCGGAAAAAGTGTATAAAAACATACGAAATCCGTACCCAAAACACGCGGCTGTCACCAAACTACACACACTTCTCGCTGATGACCTTCATGACCTCATGTTAAAAACGACAGCGTTGACAAACTCCAGACCACGGCAACACCGCCAACAGTAAGAAACAATTCGTTTCTCTCGTATCCGTTTTTACTATGTACCATGCACACACATCTCGACTTTTCATACAAACACACATATCACAACATTTTATTATTTCTCACACACGTACACAAAGACAGTTTATATTTTATTTCAGAACTTTAACAACCCAAACAAAAGACATTACTTTCCAATCTATTATCAACTGTTTGTATTCTTATCGTTATATTAAATTAATGTTTATTTGTTGAAACTACGTCGTCTTTTCTACTGAATTTTATTCCTTCAATGAAAAGCGTTTGATTATTCTAGACGGCCAAATTACGAGCGACCCTGTAACGATATTTTGTTAATGTATTGAATCCTGACACTCCAAATTTTAACATTCAACGAAAAACCGAGTAAAATGATTCCTACATATTGATAGGTCTACAATTCCAATAATTTCATGTGACTCGAACAAAAACCGACTAATAGTTGCGTATTAACTCGGTCAAAAATCCAACTAAAAGTTTGTCTATTGACCCGGGTATAAACTCGATTAATATATACGTATAGATCCGTGTTTAATCCCAAACAATATTTGCATATAAACATGGACCTAATCTGAAACATATCTGTATAAGACTCGGGCAAAAAACGAACTATGGATTGTTTATAGACTCGTGCAGAACACCGGCTCATGTTTGCTTATATACTCGAGGCAAAACATCGATTAATCTCCGCACACAGACTCCAGCAAAAACCCAGTTAATGTGTGTATATAGACACAGAATGATCCCCCGTCAATGTTTGCGGATAGGACAGGGCATAAAACCGACTATTTACCTACAGACTTGTGTATAAACCCGAACAATGTAGGATTTGACATTAAAACATCCCGTATGTAGACTCAATGGGGAAAAACGATCACTTTTATTAGGAGTAGGTGAAATCAGTCAGCACCACTGTATCTCAGTGAAATATTTAACAAAAGGTCAAACGTATGAATACAGTGAACGAGGATTGAAATTACGACAGAGTTAACGGTATGTGAAATCAGCTGGCTAACCCCCGATTCCCGGGGAGGTATTAGACCGGTTTCAAGTACAGTGCACCTCTTTTTTAACAATAAATTCATGTTGGGGAATGTTTACGATGCAGGCGATCACGGTTCTCCATAATCTGTGAATTGCCATGATTTCTTTGGAATTGTAGTCCGGTGGTTCTTCACCTCGTCTGCCTCCCACCGAAGATTTGCGAACCTAGTCTACACTAACTGAGAGAAGAAGAGGCCGACTTATAAATTTTCTAAGAACCTTATGTTAAATGACGTTTATTTAAGGCAGAGGCGTTTATGGCTCTCCACAGATGCTGTATCCTTATCAACTTCCATGACTTTTTGGGAAAGCAAGTGGAGGTGTTTCCAATTACATTGTCCACGGGTTTGATTTGAAAATTGTTTTTCTTGTTTTCGGGGCACAGGCGATCATGGCTCTCCACGCATTTCTTTGTCATCTGTGAATGTCCATAATGTATTTGCAAATAGGGTGGGTTATTTCCAATTACATTGTCCACAGGTTTGAATTCAAAATTGTTTTTCTTGTTTTCGGGGCACAGGCGATCATGGCTCTCCACGCCTTTCTTTATCATCTGTGAATGTCCACGATGTATTTGGGAATAAAGTTGACTGGTTTCCAAATTCAATGTCCACGTGTTTGAATTCAGAGTTCATTTTCTCGTCTTCGGGCACAGGCGATCATGACTCTCCACGCTTTTCTGTGAATGGACATAATGTATTTGCAAAGAAAGTGGGCTGGTTTCCAATTACATTCTCCACGGATTTGAATTCATAGTTGTTTTTTTCCTCGTCTTCAGGTCACAGGCGATCAAGGCTCTCCACGCCTTTCTTTATCATCTGTGAATGTCCATAATGTATTTACAAAGAGGGTGGGATATTTCCAGTTACATTGTCCACAGGTTTGAATTCAGAATTGTTTTTCTCGTTTTCGGGGCTCAGGCGATCATTGCTCTCCACGCTTTCTTTATCATCTGTGAATGTCCATAATGTATTTGGGAAGAAAGTTTGGTTTCCAAATCCAATGTCCTTCTGTTTGAATTCAGAGTTCATTTTCTCGTCTTCGGGCACAGGCGATCATGGCTCTCTACGCTTTTCTTTATCTCTGAATGCCCATAATGTATTGCAAAGAAAGTGGGATGGTTTCCAATTACATTCTCCACGGATTTGAATTCAGAGTTTTTTTTTTTTTTTTTTTTTTTTTTTGCTCGCCTTCAGGGCACAGGCGATCATGGCTCTCCACGCCTTTCATTTTTGAATGTCCATAACCTCTTGGGAAATATAGTCTAGTGGTTTTCATTTTCTTATAAATGGTTTTAAATTAAAAGCAAACCTTGTTTCACCCAAGTTTCAAAAGCCTAGTCAACCGTGCTATTTAACCCATAGCTGGGGAAAGAAAGAAAGTGAGCACAACGGACGAGGATTGAACTTGAATTCGGCCTGCTGATTCCGTTTTCCTGTTAACATTGTACGAAATACCGTATGAGTGCAATACAAATGCAGAAGGATGCATGTTTATGTTTTAGAGATTACGCAACTGCATTTGATAACGTACACCACAGAGATGTATTTGATCTAAAAGGAAAGAGAGGAGGCACGGTGGAGTAAAGGATAGCGGCTTGGATTGAGGAATCGGAGAGCCGAGTTCGAATTGCAGTCGAATCCATTACATTCACATGTGCTAATACCCTTGGGAAAGGTGTGAATCCTCTTCTTCTCACTCCAGCTATGGGTAAATAGCAGGACAGACTGGGTTCTATAGAATTGGATGGCCACTGGTCTAGGAGAAGGAAAAACTCTGAATTCAAATCCTGCGGAGGGTCGTTTGGGGACCTTGTGGCACGTAGTGCATCAGGTCTCTGTATTCGGCCCTTCAAAAAGTGTGGATGGTCCTGCACGAGGCCTTCACCACTATAATCAAATCTCATGTGCTATACATGCGGGTTTGGGGACCGCTTGTGAATTCCAAATTACCATGAAACTCCAATATTGGAGCCGGCTTAACCTACCCCGGGTGTATGCCGTTACAAGAACAAGAAGAAGAGAAGAAAGAGAGATCAAGTTATGAAGGATGTTTGAATAATCCAGAAATTATACTAAGAGAAAACCGCTTGCATTCAGATAGAAAATGAACTGAGCAGCTGTGATATTAGGTTGGTGCAAAAATAATGACGTAATAATGTCGTTTTTGGACGTCTTTTTAACGTCCAAAAACGACATTATTACGTCATTATTTTTGCACCAACCTAATAAATAAGAACCGATTATTAAAAAAAATGACAGGATTTATTCAACCTTAAGTGTGAGGCTATCCTGAAGAATATGGACATCGAGCAGCCTTTAATATCGGTTGGCTTTATATAAACAATATACCATACGTAAATGACACTCTATATATGACAGACACAGAAAGAAAACAGGATTTTATACCCAGGGTAATAAAGAAAAATGATTAAACATCAACATTAAGAATGCATGGTTGCCTGTAAAAGGGACAGACCAAAGTATGAACTATACATTGTAAAGTATTGAAGTTATAATCATTTCACCCCAGTCAAGGTAATAAAGCCACTATGACTTTAAGGATTTAGAGTGTTATATAATATGAGACAAAGTACTATTAGAGAAAGATGACAATAAAAGAAGTGGAATTTACAAGAAAGAAGATAACGATTGATATTGCATTTAAATTTTTGAAGATCAAAGTTAACTGGAAAGCAGGAAACCGGAAGAGAATTCCACAAGCGAGAAGTGCGAGAGAAGAAACGGTTCGCATAGAACTTACGGTTATATCTGGCCAGTTCAACTATAAAATGAGGATACCTTGCCGCCAATCTAGTACTGCACTTAAATTCATAAAACTAGGTTCCATAGAGGAACGTTATTCGGAACAATTACCAAAAAATTACTTACAGAAAAGTCACAGCGAAGCTACGTTACGTCGGTAGAAAATGACTGAGGCCTAGATGCCAGGTCAGAGCCAAAGACATTGCAGATTATTCTTTGGAATTTATCAAGAATCTCTAGACATATTCCAGGAGAATAGATATGGCAGAAATATTCCAAGCAAGAACGAATGGTAGACTTATAAACATATAAGATAGATTCTGACGAGAAAAGTTGTCTTGTACGAAATAGTGAACCAATGTTCTTAGCTGCAGACTTAGCAATTAATTCAATATACTCTTTACACTTCATATCAGCTGAAAACATTAGTCTGAGAAGGAGAAATGTGTCATTCCCAGGGAGGTTAGCATCAGCCATATTGAGGAAAGGCAAAAAGTGTTCTCTCTGATATTTAAAAGAGAGTAGTTTTGTTTTGGAGGAAAATGTTTTAACAGAAGCGATGAATAGTGACAACGAATTCTAAAAGCACGTAGGAAGGGCAAAAGATGTTTTCCAGAAACGTCGTGTATATGACAATAAAGGTGAGGACAACATTCTGAACGATGTAAATAGTGTAAAGAGTTAAAATACGTCATCACAGAAATATAAACAGATCCTGAAGAAAGCCGGAGCGTACAACGGCCGAAACATCATGAGTATGGCAATAAAGATGAGGAAAAAATTCCGAACAATGTAAATAGTATAAAGACTTAAAATACGTCATCACAGAAATATAAACAGATCCTGAAGAAGGCCAGAACATTCAACGGCCGAAACATCATGAGTATGGCAATAAAGATGAGGGAAACAGTTCGAACGATGTAAATAGTGTAAAGAGTTAAAATACGTCATCACAAAAATATAAACAGATCCTGAAGAAGGCCGGAGCGTACAACGGCCGAAACATCATGAGTATGGCAATAAAGATGAGGAAAAAATTCCGAACGATGTAAATAGTATAAAGAGTTAAAATACGTCATCACAGAAATATAAACAGATCCTGAAGAAGGCCGGATCATACAACGGCCGAAACATCATGAATATGGCAATAAAGGGTGAGGGAAACAGTTCGAACGATGTAAAGAGTGTAAAGAGTTAAAATACGTCAGCTCAGAAATACAGATAGATCCCAAAGAAGGCCGAAGCGTTCAACGGACGAGACGTCGTGAATATGGCAATAAAGATAAGGATTACAGTCCGAACGATAAAAATAGTGTATATAGTTACAATACATCATCTCAGAAATATAGACAGATCCTGAAGAAGACCGGAGATTATAACGGCTGAAACGTTGTGAATATGACAAAAAAAGATGAAGACATCAGTTCGAACGATGTAAATAGTATAAATAGTTATAATACCTCATCTTAGAAATACATACAGGTCTGGAAGAAGGCCAGAGCGTATAATGGCCGAAACGTCGTGAATATGGCAATAAAGATGATGGCAAATGTCTGAACGATGTAAAAACTTTAAATAGATACAATACGTCATCTCAGAAATATAGACAGGTCGTGCAGAAGTCCGGAGCGTACAACAGCCGGAATGTCGTGAATATGGCAAAAAAGATGAAGACATCTGTCCCGACGATTTAAATGGTGTAAATAGATACAATACGTCATTACAGAACTATAAACAGATCCTGAAGAAGACCGGAACGTATAACGGCCGAACATCGTGAATATGGCAATAAAGTCTGAACGATATAAATACTGTAAAGAGTTAAAATACGTCATCTCAG